GTACAGATACATGAAAATTGTATTTAAGTACAGTAACGAAGTACTTGTACTTCGTTACTTCCCACCACTTATTTCATCAAACTGCTCTGTTCAATCAGAAGTTTATTGAAACCTCTAATTGTAAGGACTGAGCCAGATGTGTCATTAGAAAAGTAAGCACTGTCCTTCATTATCTCCCTCTAGGGAAAGGATCAGAGAAATTCAAATTGTGTCATCCAGAGCTGCACTGAGAATGAGCTACAATCACATTACTAATACAGACCATGCTATACTGATGAAATGTTATCTGTTATTTTACCAGACAGTAAAGACACTGAATGGCATAGATTCAAAGAGGTTTCGAACTATAACACAATATGCATACACTCTTATTTTACTCTTATTTATTTAAAATAAAATACAGATTTATTTTCTCAGGAGGCCAAAATTAATACTAAATCAAATTGGGCCAAAACCAAAAAAACTAAACCTTTATATCAATACGATGTCTACCATTTCAAAAGCAGTCCCGTTTGTATTAAATACACTTACAACAAAAAGCAACAAACTGTGTGTTTGGTCGATATTTTTTATTTTAATTATCCTGTACAGTCAGAAAACCACTTTATTCCTTTTTAATTGTTGCCACATATGTAAAAGAAAGTGCATTTATGGTCTTGAGCAGCAGAGTTTGCTAAACTTTAATTAGTTGCAAAACTTGCCAAATCCTCTCTAGGGATGCCAAGCAGACTGTTGTTAATGTAATTTACTAGACTGGATGATAAAAGCCTGAAAAACCAAGACATAAGGGCAGATTAACAATTTATCAAACAGAGGCGTCAGTGGTGGAGAAGAACAAAGCCAGAACAGCCTGCCAACTCTTCTTCATCCTGAGCCTCACTCCTTTGTCAAGTCTCACTATAAAAACAATAAAATGTCTGGTAATGTCTGGTAAATGTCTGGTTTGGTACTAGCTCAGTTAGGTGTGTTTCCATTGGCAGTGTGATTCTCACTAAATGAGCTGTGGTCAATGCTTCAATTATGTCATTTTGCGTGTCTACCCTTGGGCAGCCGGTTTCTCTAAAATCTTGCAACTATTTGTTCATCACAGGTTGCCCCAACCAGTTGACGCTGCATGCGCTCTTCTGCCGCAATTGACAAAAAGTTTGAATCTTAAAGTTTGACCATGGAATTATTGATTTGACAACTTCTACGGCATTATTGCGGCGTCCATGAGCCAAACAACGAATGAAGTCTGCCGCCAATCAAATCACTTGAACCAATTTCTGGCTAGGGATATTGGATTTTGGTTCAATAAAATGGAGGGGAATGTGCAATTGGAGAAGTATCTGAGCGGAGCTTACTGGGGAAGAATTGGTTAAACCCACGCCTGAGAAGAAGGCGTTCTGGTCATCAGCTTGGTTACACATTACTGTGGGATGGCATTCCATTCTTCATCCAGAATTTAATGAAGCAGGGAAGAGAAAATTAACAGGTCTTCCTTCTGGATGAGTGTTAGTCATAAGCAGTATTATTGTAGCAGAAGCAAAGAATCGACCCAACATGATTTTTTTTTCTTCCTGTGCTAAGTTCAGTAATTTACATAGATGCTTATAGTTATTTAAGCAAACGATTATTAAAGGGATGTCATACAATTTATTACTTTGCACTATAATTTATACTACAGCTGTACAGTGTCTAGTTAAATCAAGAAAAAGTTTAATAATGTCAGAAACATTATTTTTATCTCTATCCTCTTTTTTAAACAGAATGTAAAAACTGTCTTGGTTGTCCAACACTGTAATTTAACACTTGTCAGAGTTGTATCATTGAAAATTATTCAACTATTTATGTTTGTTTTACCTGGTAGAGAGCCAGAGAATGTCCATATCTGTAGAGGGGTCCGCTGCTGGCTGGCACCACGTCCCACACGCTGGTGTCCGGGTTGTAGCTGTGCAGACAGAGAGAGAAACTTCAGCCATGAAAGTCACTTTTAGTAAAAACAGACCTTCACTTTAGCCAGTGGAGCTTACTTGAGCATCATGTGGTAATTAGAGTAGTTGAAGGAGTAGCCTCCCACCACCCACATTAACCCAGAATGCACCAGGGCTCGGTGGGAGGCCCGGCCCAGGGACTGAGCCAACGGTTTGATGCTGGGAAGCATCCAGAAGGACCTCATGGAGGGAACAGGGACGGTGCAGTCAGGACCTGACGCACAGAGAGAAGAACACATTTTATTTACACAAGAATTTACAGCGCTAGAAACATCTTCTCTACAAAACTAGCTATGAAATATGACTCTTACTGGATGCTAAGGTTTTGTTTTTTATTTAAAACTATATCAAAGTAAAAAGGCATGTACAAAGTATTAAGTCTGCAGCTAACAGTTATTTTAGTAATCGATCATTCAATGGATTATTCTGATAATCACTTTTTTTAAAATGACAAACTGCTGATTTTTCATTTCAGCTAGACTTACATATTTATATATGTTAATACAAAGAAGGTTGCATTTTTTATTTTAAATGCAAACTATGATGTTGTTGATTATTTCAACAATTCTTTAATCATGATAAATTGTTTTAGCCCTAAGTGTATTTTTTAGTATTTTTTCAACTGATCATTTTTATTGTAATGTTTCTGTTTCAAGAAGCTAAATTTGATAGTTTTCCTATCTACATACAAAATTCACATCAGATATGGAACTGAGCAAAAGCATTAGACTTTCTGTAATTTCATGATGCTTTGCTTCCAGGGTCTCAAACCCTGGAACTTAAAACAATTTGATCAGTAGTTTCTGAGGTCTTTTAACAATTTTTTTGGGTGGGGTTGACTTGTGTTTCTATGGATTTTTCACTTCTTGTCCTGTGAAATAAAAGTAAGAAAGTGTCAGGTGCAGGTTATCTTCTGCTGAACTCAGAGGGAAAAACAGAATGGAAAAAGTGAGGGAAAAAAACTGAATATTTTCAAGTGTGTACCTTTTACTTACCAATCCTATCATAAAAAGAAACCATGTATTTTATTTTAAAAAGAGAAAAGATCAAAGTTTAAGCAAGTGCTAGGTTTTGCAAAATGGGTTTATGCCCAGGGTGGCATAAAACAAGAGGGCACCACCAGAATAAAAAAAAGGAAAAGAGTTAGCTATCAAGCACTCATAGAATGGGTTTCTATGCCCATTTACATCATCTAATTCATTTCATACTAGGTAGAATTATAACATTTCCATTTTTCCTACAACTGTTATCTGTTTTTTGCTGTTTTTTAAACCACTAAATTGTTTAAATATCTAGCATTCAAACCTCCCAGCTTAAACAATAATTATTAGTAGTGCCTCGGAACAGGGCAGCTGGACTTATACCGAGTGTAAACTGCACACACAGGTGAAGTCAATTTTATATAATTGCCCCAAGATGGAGATTAAAGAGGGTGGAATAGAAACACATGATTTCCCTTCCCTTTCACAATTATCTACTTCTTTATAGATAAGATAAAGGAGTAGATAATTGTGAAAGGGAAGGGAAATCATGTATTTCTATAACCTTTAACCGTAAATACTTTCATAATACACTGCAGACCAGACAAGAAGTGATCACTTTGTTTAGCTCAAAATTGTCACAAATTTCCATTTTGTTCAGGTTTTTCTTCTTTTTTGTGTTTCATAGATGCGGTTTACATTTACTCATCCTTACACATAAATACTATTTCTGACTAGTGTTCACAATAATAAAAATAGCATGAATTATAATGTATTTTACAAAGAAGACAGCTGAATGAACATTTATTCTCTTTTCACTTTGGTTTAGAATAAATATCTTAACTTTAACAAATTTCATTTAAAAATATATAAATTTTTTGCATTTTAAGAAACATTTTTATTCTTCCTGCATATCTGATATTAGCCCAGGAGAGGGCAGTGCACCATCACTGAATGGAACACGTGTTTTAGACATGCTATGTTAAATTAAATAAATTTAATCTGTTGTTTGAGATGATAATTTAGATGAAGAAAAACATTGATTGAATTATTCAGTTATCTGTGGTTGATGGATAATTTCCCTCCAAAACTGGATAAGGTTTAGCAGATAGCTACATGGAAACTACAAAGAATAATAAATATACATTCAAATTAAGACAGTTCATCCCTTCAAAAGGTTTAAATGCTCCAATGTGTTACCAAGAACTAAAACAGCAATCCAACTTTAAACATTTTCCATAAAAATAATGTTTAAGATGACAATGTGCAGCAACTAAGCAGTGATGTTGTGTCGGTAAACCTCCTCCCAGTTTTTCCACATTAACGACGATCAAAAGAAAGCAATCTGAATAAATTACCTCTGTGCATGGCATTATGGGAAATGTGGTCTTTGTTCTGACAATAAAAACAAATGGATGTGTATTGATCTGAAGCGTTGCACCTTGCCAGCTGTCGTTGCAGACACAGAGCTTTTCTCCGGTCAGGTCGCAGTAGCCATGGTCTGGGCTGCCACAATCATCCCTGCAGTACGGAACGGCGCAGGCCTCGCCTTTCCAGTACTCGTCACATTCGCAATACACGCGGCCCGCCTCTGAATTCCCCGCGCCGCACCGGCCGTGGCCCGAACAGTTGTTGGGACAGGAATTTATCCTGAGGAAGCCGGACAGGAATCGCATTCAGAACTGTGCAGCGATGCTAATTCATGAAATGAAAACCCTGAGGTATTGTGGATGTGGTGTAATAATGTTCAATATCAAGTAGTTCTAAAGCCATCAGAATGAAAGTTTATTTAAATCCTCTAATCAGTTTCCTTAGCAAACTAACAGTTTTGTTTCTTTGTTTGATTCTTTTTCTGTCATACCTGAATGTTTAATCAAATACATTTTCATTATCTAAAACATTATAATGAAAAATGAATGTTAAATTTCATGAATATGAATATTTTTACATAAATTTGTTTTGCAGGATGCAAATACAAAGAATTATGGGAAAGAATAATCTATTTTTATTCAGGATGGTAAGTGTCCCTTGAGCACTGAAACTCATTTTCATCTTAGTTTTACATCGAAAGAGCTCTTTTGAAGACCACAGTACATATATACAGAAAAATACAATTTAACCAAACTTACAGTGCAGCTCAGCACTACTTATTTTTTATATTTCATACTATACTGTTTCAGTATTTCTATATTAACTTGTATTTTTTGTATATATAGATTTTTATATTGGCTCTGCTCTGTCCTCTGTACTGCTGTAACAATACAAATTTCCCCACTGCAGGATTAATAAAGGAATATTTTATCTTATTTTATCCCTTTCATGCATGAATTATGATTCTTTGTGTCAGATTTTTTTTTTCCAATTTTTTATTTTCTTAAGGCATAAAAAAGGTAGGACATTTTTTTTGCCAAAAATTGTTATTTTTTATTTAATTTTTTTTAGGTGATCAATTGTAATTTTCTCCAAATACAAAGTTGCTATTTGAAAAATACATCAGTAGTATTGATCTTTAGGGGTTATCTGATGTCACAATATTTTTTTTTACCTGCAAGAGTCGACTACAGTAGAAGGAGGGACAGGGTCGGTTGGCATGCTTTTTGTCTGTTGGCCATATTGGATTTAACAAAAATTATTTCTTGCATTTGCAGCCGATGGCCAGAAGTTGATAGTGTATTTTATGATGCATTAGTGTCCACTTCAGTGGTCTGTGCGCATTTGTAGCATTGTGATGTTATTACACTAGATTGTCAAGCGAGAAGCTATTCCGGTAGGAAATCACATAGACATAATATAAGCAAAGACGCCTCATGGACCGCTCCGGCGCAGGAAATACGGCGGCCATCTTGGAGCGGTATACCCTCCTACTAAGATGCCTCAGCACTGAGGGATATTGTTGTTCGGATCTATGGATTATTGATGCGAGGGCTCCACAGACAACATTTCACAAGTAAGATGGACATATTATTGTGTATATATTGTGATTAGAATATTACTTTACTGTATTTATGTCCACCGGCGAGATACCAGCTAATATTAGCTACAGTGCTTGGTGTAATACGGGTTCAGCCCCGCTATGAAGGCTAACTGAGATTCCGTAAATCTAAAAAAAAAATAATTATTCTCTAACATTGACTTCGATTATCTGACACAAGGGCCTATATTAGAAAGGAAACAATATAACATATATTATAAAACTTATATTATGTGTTATAACATTCACCGGCAAAGTTTACACAGGTGGTAAAGACTATTATGTTCTTTCACTCTGTCAAAAGTAAGATACATCCTAAATCTTCTGTTTTTCTTTTGAAAGTTTCCTAAAGACACGATGTGAGGAAGAAGAGAGAGATATCTATGAAGAGAGACGGATTCACTGCAGCACGGATGAATCTCACATCGGATTTTGGACTCAATCTCAACTGCTGAATCTCTGAAGCTACAACTAGTCGGGTGAAATAAAAAAAAAATATATATATGTTTTTCACAATCATTATTTTTTTTTTAGTGTTTGTATAGTTATATAAATATGTATTGATATTACTAAATGTATTAAATAAATTATGAACGGCTGTGTGCTTTGTAATATGCTCTTCATACATCGATATCAGAATATTCCATTCCTATTCTATTGTTATAGCCACTAAGCATATTTAAATATGATAAACTATGAATTAAAAACATACTTAAAAAATACAATTGTTTAGAAATGTAGCTTTGATAGATGTTTGAATATGGTTTACAGTAACAAAAAAGTTTGTTATGATCGATTAAATGCGCTGATACATCATTGTGCCTGCTAAACACATAACGCTGAGTGGAGTGGTATACCGCTCCAAGATGGCCGCCCTAAATCTCGTCAGCGACAATAGGCGAGAGCGGTTCATGAGGCGTCTATCCTTATATTATGTCTATGGGAAATCATATGAGCACCGGCAGCTTTTATTTTGAAAAGACGACAGATCCATTGCAAAACAGCGGGTAACTTCCTGTTTCGAAATTATTATTATTTTATTTAAATTGAATGTGTTGCGAATGAAAATGTGAATTATTATCTTTACTGTCAAACATATTGAGTTCATGGATTGTTGTTTTGAGTATCAGTTCGGGGTTTAAAAAGAAAGATTAACGGGTCATACCATTATAGTCAGTGAAAGGGTTCCCCCGTCGCTCTTTCTGTTCAGATTCCGTCAGAGAAGGTAAGAAGTTTTGTTTTCTGTGTTCAGTAAGTGTATTTTAAGTACAAGTGTTAGTTTAATTACTGTTCTTGTAAAAATAATGTGCTCTGGAGCACTTGAACTTTGTTAAACAGTAGAACTGTGTTAGCAGATATTTAGCTGCTCTTATGCTACATGAAACATTGCTAATGAAAATGCTACATTATGTGCTGAAAATAGTATTGTTCATGGTTAAACAGGCGCTGTGGAACACTTTGATGAGAAAAAGCCTGTTTTGACTACTATTTTCTGCTATTTGAATGCAGGTATGTGATGTTTCATTATTTTTGGTGGGAATATTTTGTCTAATTACTTTTTTTGTTATTCATGTACTGTTTAAGATTATTATCCCCATGTTTGGGTTTAGTTATTAATTATTGTAATTAATTTTATTTTATTACGTATTATTTTACACAAGTCGCACACGCTCTTTCTGTTCAGATTCCATGGGAGAAGGCGCTGTGACTGCGGGGTGTCGGTTAGTGTGTCTTACCCAGAAAGCAGTTGGGCACAATATCGCAACACCGTGAGTGACACAATGACTAGGGCAGCCTACCATATAAAGTACTTGGGGACCATTTGCTAATTATTATACAAACACAATTGTAGAGTATGCTACATGTAACAGCCAAATACTGGACAAGTGGCAACCTTAGTAGTAGCCTGTGTAAAAAATAATGACCTGTGTCATTTTTGTCGAAAGTGATTTTTTTCCTTCTATCTAAGTCATCGTTTCCACAGAAGGAAACGATGACTGTGTGTGACTGTGTGTTTATTTTTGGTTTATGTGTCTAGTGAGTCTCCGTGTTGTCCTGTCTTCCCCTTGATTGTTCCCAGGTATGTCTCGTTCCCCGATTACCCTCTGTGTATTTAATGTCACATGTGTCTCTGTCTTTGTCGGGTCTTTGTCGTCTTCTCACACGTCTTGTATTGCGTCTGCCAGCTCTCGTGCCAGTCTGTTTGGTTCAGTTGCTTCCAGTGCTGAGCCTTTGCCTTCCGCTCTGCTGTGCTGCCTGTATTTGGACTGTTTGAGCTTTTGACCATTAAAATATCACCTTCATCACTCCAACCTGGGTCTACAGCGTCTCCCTCACCACCTCGTACCACATATCCTGACAGAGACTTTTTTTTTTTTTTTTTCCAAGGGAAAAAAGGAATGACAACCATTTTTTTTAGGAAGGTAACGAAACAGATATTAAGGTAGTTCATCCAGTACCTGAGAGGAACCTCTCTTTTTATTATTATTTCAGATAGTTTCTTAGAAACAAATCTAAGATTAGACAGATTTTCTGCAAATAAATTGGAATTACATTCCACAGAAATATCCACAAATCTATGAATCTGTGAATATTGAATCACAAATAGGTGGAGATCCTGTATTTGCAAATCTCATCAACATTCAATCAGCCAATGTGGTGTAGAAAATTAGGTATATTACACCTTTACCAGCTATGACTCAGTGTGTACTCCTCATTGTCTGACCAGCTTTATTTTGACTCAGTCAAAATTACAAGTCATCCATTTACTACAAAAAAAATTATTGAAAGGGACAGAATTATGTTCAATCCATTTTTTTTTAGCTTTCCATTATGGTATAATGTTTTTTCCTTATCAAAAACAAACTGTAACAGCCGTAATTGTGTACTATCTCTTTAAGATACTCTAGTATCTCTAATGACGTCACGTATATGCGCCACTGCTTCTCTGTAGAGAGCGTGGGAGAAACATGCTACAGTCGCTACATGGACATGCTAGCTGTCTAACTTTAGTAACGTTACGGGTAGTTTGGACTCTGCTCATTTTCATGTTTGGTAATATAGCACCCGTTCAACCGGGCTTTGTAAGGTTGGTGAAGAGTTTATTAAAGGACAACACTGTGGAATTCCCAGTACCAGTGTGGTTGTGAGTTTTCTGCCGCCTCTTCTCCTCCCTTAATACAACCCAAGCGTTACAATACCTGAAGTGTTGCTTTCATCCTTTCATGCACGTTTGCGAAATTCCTTGGCAACCATTCAGCTTTCTAAAATGTCTGGGTGTATTTAGCCCTACCTTTAAGGACAAAGCTCTGTCTTGGAGCTGCATTTTCCAAGCTACCAAACTTCCACCTCACAGAGCAGCTCTCCTCCACAACTCCCTCAGTCTTCTCCTTCAGACTAGCCAGCAGCAATTAGCAAACACCTGGGAGAACTGCTGACTTAATTATAGGAGCTACTTCTCATTGTAGAGACAGAGGTCCAATGTCAAGGTGTTAAATGTCGCAGTCAAATTTCTTTTAAGTCATATTTGATATACAGTATATAGCATTTTTTATGACAACTGAAGTTAACATAGCTACTTGATTGTGCTATAAAACTGGACTATATGCCTGTAAAACACCCAATACTGTCTGTTTAATTCAAGCCAAAGCTGGTGTTGAATGTATTAACACCAGCTTTGCCATGGTGTTAATACATGGCAAAAATTAAAATAATAATATTCTGGATTCATCTGCTGAAATAAATGAGCTTTCTGCTGATATTCTAGCTCATTGAGATGCACCTGTATCAGGTGCATCTCATGGTATTTTGCCATGGCATGACTATCCATGCCATGGCAAAATACCATGGCATGGATAGTCAAATCCAATCAAATCTTCAATGACGTTTTCCCATATAAACCTTTTTTAATTGTTCCGAGAGAGGAAATGACAGCAGTGGAGTCTTCCATTGGAAAGATTGCACTTTGCATTGTACAAAATTAATAATATCCTTTAGAAACTAGAAGAAAGAAATGTTCCATCTTTCAACTTAATTTATGTTCATCTTGAAATGGTTCCATCTTCTATGTCCTTATGGATATTCCAGTGCCTTAAATTCACTTTGAGGTAAAGGAGAGATCAAGCTAAAAGGCAGGAAGTGTTTTTGCCAGTCTGCTCTCACTGAATGATGCATTGAAAACATGCATCTGTCTTCAGCACTCTTACTACTATTTGACAGCTACACAGTATTCGTCATCCCTCCATCATCTTACAGAAATACAGACACTGCAGTTCAGTTATTAAGATGAACAAAACAAAAGAAGGTTTCAACATAATAATCAGGTTCAGGATTCACAAATGTTGTGAACCTGATATTTTTCTGTGGAAGGTAATTCCAAATTATTTGTGGAAAACTAACTTATTTGAGTATTATTTCTAAAATATCTCAAAGAAAACACAGCTTGAGAAGATGATGTACCTAGCAACATTGCTAGTTGACACACAATTGGCTAACCAAGGAGCACCATTCACTTTCTGATTAGCTCTACACCAGTGACGTGTGGTGAGGTTCATAGCTGGTGAGGAACCGATTTAATTATAATCGGATTTACAAATCTAGACCCCCTGCATGTTATTGTTTACATAAGGAAATTTCGCACATGCGTACAATGCTGGAGGGCAAAAAGACTATTCTTTAACATGTGATGCTTAGCTGCGCCACCACCGCAGAATAATTCCGTTATCTCAATCAAACTTAGACATGTAGATATTTTTAATTTTGTGTTGAGCTTAACAGGAAAGGGAGAAACCGTTAAAGTACAACTCAAAACCACGTCTATCTTGCTCTCTGTATCAGCGCAGCTACTGTATGGCTAGCTCGTTGTTACTGTCTCTTACTCTGCAGTTGTGGAGTCACATTGTCTGGGTTCATGAGTGCCTCCAGCGATGAGGCACGAGAACTGCCTGCCTCACCTCGAATCTGTTCTCTGCCGTTTCTGATCGCTCCTCCGCACACAAAACACGATACACACACAGTTAGTGACAAAAAAACACTGTACATTATATACATAAGCGAAATTATGGAAAATCAGTCCATATATTAAATGTTTTTTAGCCATTTTATTGCTGGCGTACAGACAGGACGAACTTGCTCCCATAGAATGGCAGCCAGTGTAGTTAGCGAGAGGTTGCGCAATCCCAGGTGAGGCTCAGCTCGCTGCTGCCTCACCGGCTTCGCTTCCAAGCATTTGAATGGGAAAATGCGAAAATTCAGCGATTTTGAAAGAAAAAAAAAATCAGATTTGGTTAAATTAAATGAAAAATAGGTATTTTATAGTACAAACCACAGGGTGAAAATATCTTTATAAATGATTTTATTACTATATATTATTTTTCCATGATGACAGGAGAGGCTCTGCCTCCCCTGACTGCATGTCACTGCTCTACACCTAAAAGCAAAGATAAGAAAGACTGGACATTACATTCTGCAGTAGTGTTAAGACAGTTTTCACTGTGTAATAATGCAAATTGAGGTATATTTGGTGTTTAAACAAATAAAATATGTAATTACAGGCAGTGGGAGTCTGAAGGATGTTAGCTTGTGAGCGGCTGTGGTCCTTAAAATTTTAGGATTGTTGTTGACTTCTTTCAGCAACATGCTGTCTGTTTTCAGGGTGAACTTGCTTGGCTAGTCACCAGGGTGTATTGAAAGTTTATTTTGATGAGTTTCTCCTTAAAAAGACTTTATGTACAGTGGACCAGCTAATTCTATCTTCTAGACCTGTTTAAATCCTTTGCCAGGTTCACACACTGCTATAATTTTTAAAACATACTGTATGTTTGAGTCAGATTTTGACTCCAATAAAACCCAACTTTCTTTAGACACCCAAGCTAAAGCAAATACTCACAATTGAACGGTTGAGTTCACATCCTTCACATTTAGAGCTGACCAACAAAGGAGACACACAGCAGTAAAGACAACGTGTAGACATACGAGTAGGCGATGTTGAAACCAGTCAGGTTGTATGCGGCGTCACTGAAGAAGTGAAGCAGGGCATACCCGGACGTCGTCACCACCTCGGGTACCGACTCCTTCTCTTTCGCCTCCGGCACCACCAAACCACTGAGTGAGACCCAACAAAGAAATTCAGACCGCTCAATATCAATAATGAATAATAAAAAGATGTTTTGAAGTGTTGTTTTATTTTGTAAACTCTAGCTTTAAAAAGCACACCACTCCCAGAGGTTCAGGATGAAAGGAAAATCAACTAAACCAATTGAGGTCCCTATTGAAATGATGACACTGTTTAGCTCGAAACAAAACCCTGATGCATTGCAGAGGCACAACGCATTTATCATTTTGTTTGATGATGTTGTTCCTCTGAGGATTGACAGCATTTATTTGTTTGGCCTGTCACTTTTAATATAGTCAGTGCACTGCACTACTGTACCCTTACTAGACTTGGTCTATAATAATAATAAATAATAACAATAATAGTATATTTTAAAAAATATCATTATATATTGTGAAACCAAAATAATCTTCGGAGAAAAAAAAATGTAATTTACATTTTTAATCATACACAGGCAGTAATTCAATAAATCTTGGTTTGGAAAAGTTTGCTTTTTTTCTTCAAATGAACTAAATCAATGATTGGTCAGAAGCAATCTGGAAGGGGGAAAATACTTTTTTACAGTCCTGTAGGTGATAATGTCAATGTTTGTACAATTAGATGTTCTTATTTTTAAAACTTTTCACATAGGAGAGAAAATTGCCTTCTAAATAGAGGTAAGTAAAAAGCAGGCGGTAGGTAAATTATTGTGGCACTGCTATAGATAAGGAATGTGGGACATAATAAATGGCTGCCCTCATGTTTGCTGGTTACAAAAACAAAAAAAGGCAAAGCTTCCTAAAAAGTTTAAGTAGCATTCAGGGATAATGTGAGTAGTTGCTGTATTTTCTCTCCATTACTGCCACATTGTGGAATGGCTGCAATTATGAGGCCCATTGTTTGGGAATATGTTGCCTGCGAGAGTTCAGGTTTACAGGGTTAATAAAGAGGTGGCGAATGTTTCCCCAGACATTTCCCTATCTCCTCCCTCACACGCTACACCTTTTCACAGCAGCAGGCACTTACCTGAACACACCAATCAAGGGGGCATAAATGGAGTCACCGTCATAGACATACATGTGGTCCCAGCTGCACTCTGTGGCAAAGTGATTGAAGCGCAGCCGGAGCGCTGCATTAGGGCTAGGACAGAGCACACAAAAATATTTAGGAAGAACAAAAAGCAGCCGATGAATATATATCTCACGGATGCTTCATATTCTTCTCTCTTAAGGAATCCATAGTTTTTGTAACATCCATATCATGTAAACTGTCTCCTCAGGGACTCGAGCTGAGACAGGTTTTTAGACATTTTGAATTCCTAGTGAAGTGTGACCTTGTTTTTTTTTTTTTATAATGCGGCTGGTATATTTTCAAAAGGTATGGTTCATATAATTTCATTGAACCCTGGTACAAGTGGAAACACAGGGCTGGAGTTAGGCCTGTCACCATAAACAGTTTTACAGGGCGATATATTGTCCCTGAAATTATTGCAATAATGATAATATTATCGTTTTGAGACCCATCCATCCAACCATCCTTCCATCTTCTTCTGCTTATCCAGGGTCGGGTCGCGGGGGTAACAGCCTAAGAAGGCAGGCCCAAACTTCCCTGTCCCCAGCCACTTGTTCCAGCTCCTCCGGGGGAATCCCAAGGCATTCCCAGGCCAACCAAGAAAGGTGGAGTCAACTGGTAGTGGTCAGTGCACAGCTCCGACCCTCTCTTCCCCCAAGGGTCCAAGACATGTGGTCACAGATCTGATGAAACAATGACAAAGTCGATCATCGAACTGCGGCCTAGGGTGTCCTGGCACCAAATGCACATATGGACACCCTTATCCCTGAACATGGTGTTCATTATGGACAATTCGTGATGAGCACAAAAGTTCAACAGAACACCACTCGAGTTCAGATCAGGAGGGCCGTTCCTCCTAACCATGCCCCACCAGGTCTCATTGTCATTGTCCACGTGAGCGTTGAAGTCCCCCAGTAGAACAAGGAAGTCCCGAGTAGGGGCACTCTCCAGTAACCCCTCCAAGGATCCCAAAAAGGGTGGGTAATCTGAACTGTTGTTTGGCGCGTAAGCACTGAACAACAGTCAGAACTCATTCCCCCACCCGTAGGAAGAGGGAGGCTACCCTCTTGTTCACTGGGGTAAACCCCAATGTACAGACACTGAGATGGGGGGGTGACAAGTATGTCTACTCCTGCCATGGCGTCCGCTATTTGCGGATGATGTGGTCCTATTGGTCGTGATCTACGAGATTAAGCAAACTACATGAACAAACTTACATATGAAAATTATTACAGTCAGTTTACTTTATCATGCAATTAATTATTTTATTGCTTATTGTGATATTTCTTCTTGGTAACACCTGAAGAAGAAACGACTGGTTCAAAGCAAGAAACTATGAGTTTTTCAGTTGAATTCACTTCCTGTTTCCCTCTACTGGAGAAAAGCTGGGTTAATCCTGTACAGCCTCTGATCTACTAAAGAAACATCCCTGATCCTGACTATAACCTGGAGGCTGGGGAAATAAGGATTAACACTGCTGTTAAAAACAAACAAAAAAAAAACAGTAAAAGAGTAAAGCATCAGTAGTTGTGAACATAAGGAAAAAGTTGGAGGAGCAGCTAATAAAAGAAATTCTCTAAAATGCTAGTATTTTTTTGACTCCAGAGGGGAATTGTATTATTTTACAGATAAGTTTGCAACTTTTTCTCTACAGAACGTGTTTAATTGTAAAGATGGTTCTTAAAAGCTCTATTGAGAACAAAGTCCAGGCCTGTTTTTAGTCCCAGGCTGTTAACAAAGTTTACCTTTATAAAAACCAAACCAAATATGTCCTTTATTATTACTCTTCATGCTGTTGATTTAAGGTAAGGTAAGGTAAGGTAAGGTAATTTTATTTATTTAGCACATTTTCAGCAACCAGGCAATTCAAAGTGCTTTACATGAATTAAATTAAAAGTTAACAGATGGGAAAACCCCATTAGATATATGAAATAAAGTTTCACATTGGGCTTTGGTGGATTTTGGTGGCAGAATATCACAACAAGGAATGAATCTAGACTTGCAGGACTTTTACTCTAAACACTTAGTCAACACTAGGTACATTCAGCTGGTTCTATGAGTGAAGCAGCTCAACAGCTTTACTCATAAACACTGTTTAATGGTAATAAAGCTTTCTTATCGTATCTCTTATCTTATCAGATATAAACTGTGGTTTTACACCAAGTAGAAACAGTTGGTTTAAACTTGATAGCAGAAATAACAATAATAATAAAAGATTAGTACTTACTATCCTTCTATTAGCCAAGTGCATTTGGTCTTGTACTTATAGTTAACTGGACCATCTGAGAGAGAACCCGACAGGTCGGTTAACCTGCAGAGGAGAAAAAGAACAACAGAGATTGGTGGTTTAATAACAACACGGATCAGGAATGAGACAGGATCCAAATCAAACCAAGGTGGTCGTGGATTTTCTCTGGCCTAGCTAACCTTGAGTCAATGCTTGCTTTTGCCACGACTGGATCAAATGTTGCAGAGGACTTCAGGGAGGTCATAAAAGCACCAAGCAATCTGTTCTGACTTGCAGGTTCAGCTCATGCTGACCCGACGCATTACTTTCTCATGTAGTGTCTGAATTAGAAACAAATCAGCAAAGTGCAGGAGCTTTTCACTTTGCTCACCAGAGAAATGCAACAAAAAAAGGTCAAAGAGATAAAAATCTGGCAAAAAATCAAGATTTTTCTTTACATAAATGGAACCAAATGATATTTGCATTTTCATTGCAAATGTGTGCAAATCTTTTCTGTATTCTGCGAATATCGAAAAAACACAATCTGCTGTTGCTGTGTTTCCATTAAATGAGAAATTAAGGGTGTTTTCACACCTAATAGTCCAGTAGACTCAGTTTGATTGGGAACTGAAATTGCAACATTTACTACATTTTAAGAACTGTAGTTCGCATTCACACTGTACAAACGACCCAAACTAACTGAAAAACCTGTTCCCCCCATCGCCTGTGGTGGCGCTGCACCAAGAACTACAGAAGGAATCGACACAATACCTCTGAAGAAGACCAGCGCAACTTCCTTCTTCACAAAAAGTAAACAAAAAAGGAGCAGTGTTAGATTTTAGTGTTAGATTTTGTTAGATTTTAACCTAGATTAGGACAAGTGTTAGGTTGTAGGATTTCTTCATTGATATGCATTACTGGTTTGGACATCGCCTGTTAGACGCTAACACTAGCAACGCTCCTGCAGGCACCATTACTACAGGCACCATTACTACGCGGTGAGTCTGTCCACTAAACCAGGCTGTTCCAATATGGGATGAGTAATTTCTACTATCAGTAATATTGTGTCTACCAGAGGATTCCTCTGGTCATTATCTTTCATTAGAGCCCTCATTGATGACTGTATGTTGAAACACTGAGGAGTTACAGTCATTTGAAGTTTGTATAGCAGATGTTGTCCAAGTGTGCCATTTGGAGACTCCAAATGGAGAATGATGGCACACTTGGACAACACCTGTACATCCTCAAAAATAAACATGTCCAAAATAAAAAAAATTTTGTGCTATTTTGATCAGTCTTGAAATCCACAAGCAGAATACTTTATTCTACGGATTTATTCTATTTCCCAGTCCATACATTCAACACGCAATGTGTATTTACAAGAAATAAAAATGAAAAATCTGGGTGGAGCAACATTATTCAATTTTTTTGAGTTACAAATGTAATAGCTACAAACTACTTACAGTTAAAGTATTTTTGACTGCAAAATTAGAAATTTTAGCTTGTCATCTTCATAAAGAGACCAAGCTTTTATATGTTCTCCAAACTGTTCAAGAACAGCAGCTGATTTAATTTGGGTATACCTTTTCAGCCGTTTTTGGTGATTTCGGGGGTGAGGATTAAGGGGTTAAGGTCCAGTGCACTGCCAGGAAGCACTAATGAATCTGCTGCTGCACTTAGAAGAAGTCAGAGATCTAGAAATGCACCAATGTGATTGACAGGTTTTGTAAGATAAAGTGAAAATGTATGTAAATCACTACTGTTCAAACTGGTATTAGTGTTCTATAAGACAAATAAAGATATACTACTGTTCTGCTAAAGTAAAATACAGTAAAAATAAAGAGGTTTAAATGTTCATACTATAATGCTTATTATTAACAGTGAAACTGGTAATTTTATTCTAATGCTGACATTAATTTAATGTACTGTTGCAGCCTTATCTAATGTGGTTCGTAAACTTTTCAGATTACTGTTTTTTGAAATGGTAATTTTACAAACTTAGCTTTCTGCTGTGAGTTATACAGTGCAAATGTTACATGTAAGTAATTGCTTCAGGAAAAGGGAAAATGTTATGTTCTGTTATTGCATGAAAAGGACAGAAGGGGGAGCTCTGAATATATATATGTGACAAAATATGCTGTATGTGGAGAAGAAGAGGAGAACACAAGAGAGTAAAGAGAGTACTGAAGCTGAGCTACATCTGATCCTGCTTATTTTCCACTATTTCAATATAGCAACATGTTGAGAAAATAAATTTAAAATAAGCTAGTTTTAAAACTTAACATGTCTTGATTCAAATGGCCT